TAAGAGCACTCCGGTAGGCTACTACGTCTCCATTTTCCAAAATTTCCCGATTTCCACCACAGATTCGTTCATTACGACATAGAATTAGTCTATGTGAATTTTTTCAGAATTTTAATAGGCCAAATAAACATTTTCATTTTCCCACCTGACAGTTCTGTACGATATAGTCACCGAGCCATCTTCGGACGGCCGAAAGTGCCAGAAAACAGAGGAAATCCACGCGAATTATGGCTTTTCCAGTAGAAAATGGCACGCTAAATCGAATGAGACCATGATCAGCCCGATAGGGACAGAAAGTTTTCGAGACATCGGCGCTCAAAGTCAGCTTCTCCCATTTATTGCCAATAGGAGCACTCCGGTAGGCTACTACGTCTCCATTTTCCAAATTTCCCGATTTCCGCCACAGATTCGTTCATTACGACATCGAATTAGGCTATGTGAATTTTTTCAGAATTTTAATAGGCCAAATAAAAATTTTCATTTTCCCACCTAAGACTTCTGTACGATATAGTCACCGAGCCGTCTTCGGACGGCCGAAACTGCTAGAAAACGGCGGAAATCCACGCGAATTATCGCTTTTCCAGTAAAAAATGACAAGCTGAATCGAATTAGACCATGATCAGCACGATAGGACAGATAGTTTTCGAGATATCGGCGATCAAAGTCAGCTTCTCCCGTTTATTGCCAATAGGAGCACTCCGGTAGGCTACTACATCTCCATTTTCCAAAATTTCCCGATTTCCACCACAGATTCGTTCATTACGACATAGAATTAGTCTATGTGAATTTTTTCAGAATTTTAATAGGCCAAATAAACATTTTCATTTTCCCACCTAAGACTTCTGTACGATATAGTCACCGAGTCATCTTCGGACGGCCGAAACTGCCAGAAAACAGAGGAAATCCACGCTAATTATGGCTTTTCCAGTAGAAAATTACACGCTGAATTGAATGAGACAATGATCAGCCCGATTGGACAGGTAGCTTTCGAGATATCGGCGCTCAAAGTCAGCTTCTCCCGTTTATTGCCAATAGGAGCATCTATCAATATTCAGTAAGAGGTAAGAGGACAGGCGTAAATTCCGACATGGGGTTGTGTGTTTGGCAGAATACCATTCTCTGTTAAATCAACAGAATCTGTAAGTATATGTGTAACAGAGTCTGTATCCTACATACTATTACATTACATGAATATTTAGGTTACATAGATGGTCGGCAAAATAGCAGCATTAATTGTAAGTAAGTTCTATTGAAATGGAATGATCTTTGATATTTATTAAGGGGCTCCAACCCGCGGGAAAAAGATAGTTCTCAATGTATAAATAAATAATCTGAAACTCCTGACTGAGGAACATACTTCCTGAGTAATTCTGTGTAAAAGTCCGCTGTAGGGTATGTTGGCATTGAATCTCCTCAAACAGTCGGAGAAGGATTTCAATTGGGGCGGATTCATGAGCAGCTTCAAGTGCAGACTTTCCGCTTCCTCGTCCACCGGTAAGTTGAGGGGCCCCATCCTGAGCCCCCTCTCGGTGGGCACCATCCTGACGTGAACGTCTTTGTTGCCTGCCGCCCTGACACCGTCGAGAAGCGAGGCAAGAAGAGAATCTCTAAAACATTATCCATATGAAACTCCAACAAATCAACTGTATAAAGAAACATGCACATTTTCTTTGGAAGAGCACTATTCAATCAATACTCTTGAAATGTCCTATTATATCATCGACAAAAAGCTCAAATCCAATTTCAAATAATAATAATTAAAGAGCTTTTATTGGATTCTCAAAAGGCTACCGACCACGGTCCTTCAACCTGTGTTACACAGTGATTATACATTGAGTTTAAATTCATCATTATTGTATGTACAAGATATATGGAATAATTAAATTTGCTAGTGTAAAAAAAAAGAAGAAAAGTCTATTGTGAGGCAAGAATTTTGAAGGAATTTCAGGCTTCTGAATTGATTGAGCATTCCAATAGTGTGTTTTCCGGAAACTTTCGTCTTGGGACACTGGAAGTGGATAATTTGGAGATTGGATTCGTTTTTGGAAAACTTCAATGTTAGCTTTTTCAGTCATTCATCTGCTCGGATAGTCAGGCGGCTCTCAGGGCTGTCTGCCATCCTAAACCAAGCTCAGCTTTGGTGCAGGAATGTGGCGATGCTCTTGAGAAACTAGCTGAACAGAAGGAAGTCGAACTAGGGGGGACCGGAGCCTGCACTGGGCATAACAAGAAGCCAAACTTCGTCTGCCCTTAACAAATGCGCGGACGAGGCACTAGAAGTATATTGGAGGCGTATAGGCGGCTGCAGGCAATCGAGAGACCTGGTGGCCGGTCCAAGCATGCCAAGGACGGCTTGGTTACTGGGCAGGGATCGCCAAGTCCAAGGGATACTGACAGGGCACAACAGGTTACGCAGACACCTATCACTCATAGGTGTGGAAGATAGTCCCACTTGCCGTGAATGCGGAGAAGATGAGGAGACATCACTTCACTTCCCCGGAGAGTGTGAGGATGAAATTCGAAATCTTTGGGGTAGATAAACTACAACAGGAAGATTTGGTCGAATTAGAGTGGACGGACATCCTGACCTTCATCAGAAGGACGGGAAGGTTCGAAAAGGACAACTAAAAGAGGGATGTGTAGATATGTGGAGAGCAGGGGTTGGCAAAAAGGGCCGATGGGGGCCTACTTGCCTGGCTACAGCCTCCCCACAATACTACTACTACTACTAGCTTTTTCAGTCTCTCAGAAATTGGCTGCACCCTGGTCAGCCGATATAGAAGTTTGTTTGATGGATGTTGAAGGAGATTTTGAGGGTGCCGGATTTTGGTAATAATGGCTCTCAGGCTAGCTCTTTCTGATACTTCCAAATTGTTCAGTGCCGTCTTCCTCGTGTTTATGTATATTGGGTGAGCATACTCAAGAATTGGGCGGCAAATGGTTTTGTAAACATGTGCTGCAGTTCTTTTGCTAATTCCTTTATTCTTCTAGGTTAGGCTTCGAAAATGTTTAGCTCTTGTGATGGACTTTTTTTTTCATCAACTGGGTATGATGGTTAAAGTTTAGTTTTTGATCTAATTGCACTCCCAGATATTTAACTAATGCCCTTGTTCTCACCACATCATTAATCACAGTTACCGTGGGTGAATCATCTGATATTTTTTTATTGAAGAGTATCAGTTGGGATTTTTCTGGATTTGGTTTTAGCCTCCACTTGTCACACCATCTCATAGTGTTCCGAATTGCGTTTTGTAACTCTTCAACTGCTTTTTCAAGTGATTTATGATGACTTATAGTGGCTTTCATATTAATGAGTAATTCAAAAAGTCATGGTCATCAGTCATCACACTAAACATAGAAATTATGTATATTTAATTTCAACATAACATCTATATTTCCCATAAGAAATGAACTAAATTATCTAAGTGAAAGGAATGCTAGGCCTTTTTAAAAAATATTCCAGATGTCCAAAATATTTTGCCCATGAGTTACAAACAAAAGTTTTTCTACAAACGTCAAAAAATATAGTTCTGAATAGAGTAAGAATTGGTATGATTATGTGTTAAGTAATACAATGAACATATTTACCTGTCTGTTGTAGTATATGTCCGACTTTGTCCGCTCAAATATTCAATTGTGAATAATTGGGGATTGGAATTATCACGAATGAGAGCAAAAATGTTATTCAATGGCTGCAAGGTACAGACACTGTAAGTCTGTGGGTCTCTTTCTAAAATACAGGTTTCTGAAAGACAAAGAGTCCTTCTGACAGGGTCTGTATGTCTGGCTTTATGCACTTTGTACACTGCAAATTCCGATACTGCTGTGATGTGTTCATCATCACTAAAAAATTACAGACGTTTTTAAAATGGAAAAGAAATATTGTCAACTCCAAGTCCATCAAGAATCAGTATTTACCTATATTTTCCAAATCTCTGACATTGAAAATCCTCTAAAGTTATGGCTGTACTTAGTACTTTGATGTTTATTCCTAAATTTGAGGTGGATGACTCAACAATTTTGGTTTTAATTTCTTCAAAATCCACTGCTTGAAACAAATGTAGTCTACCAAACCCACCACATACTACTACAAATCCACCTAAAATAATATTCTAATAAATTGACTTGGTCACTAAAAATCTGGTGACTATGCTGTTATATCTCTGAACTGATTTTTAAGAAATCATATTGTTTTGTTTTCCCTGATACTGTGGAAAATTTCCTGTATGTGGATCACATGAAATGGTATGTGAAATTCATGGCAATATTTACCCCAGTCCAACCATTTGATATGCCCTTGCTCATATTTTTTTGCTTGTACTGTATTGGGTGGAAAATATCAGTTGAATCACAAAATATCAATGACTTCCATAATCTTTATAATAAAGCTGTTGTCCACTACTTTTTGAGAGTGAATACTCAAAAGTCAAAAGAGGCATTTTAAAAAATTTATCAAAAAGACAAATTTCTCACATTTTTCTGATCATCATGTATGAATGGACAGATCTAGAATAAATGCTTCGATTCCCTATGAATGAGCCCTGTAGAAAAAATGGTATATAACAAAAATATCTCTCCAGAGAGTATCACTGTATCAACAATTCCATTGGGAGCAATTTCAAATAGTAAAATATGAGGTAAAATATGTAGTTCATATTGGATTAAGAGACACTTGATCTCCTTTCACTTACTCCTCTAAATCATAATCACACAATGCAATGCATTGACAAATAAATTGAAAAAATGAGATATACTATTTGACTCCTAGTGGTTCTGAAATATAAACAGCAATTACAAGTATATAGATAAATACTTGGTATTTTTACCCCCAAATGTATGCAAACATTGAGATTGTTCCCACAAGATGAGATTCAAATGATAGCAATCACTGAACTGATATAACAATAGCAGCTTGATAAAGAACACTCAAAAATTTTACACTCCAAATTTATAGAAACTTGATCAAAGATGAGTTCAAAGACTACAAAGTGAATTTCTCAATGTCAGAAGTGCAAGAAGATGTTGATGCTCTCATAAAATTGTTTTGTGACAGTAAGTTAATTTTTTTGATGAAAAATTTGATTGAATTACTCAATTCATAGTATCCAGATTACCAACACCATAAAAATCAAGAATAACAATCTTAAGGCTCTCAAATCATTGATATACACAGAAGTGTCAAAATGTATTGTTTTTATCAGGGTGTTCTACAAGATACTACATGCACTTGAGATTTATTAATAACTAACTCTCACATATAAATAGATTGAATTGCCTACCTGAATAGTCTCCTTGAAAAATAGCAATTCAAACATTTTTTCAAATACCCAAAAAGATCAATGGTTTCATTATCAAATTGTATCTAAAGGAACATATTATATCTGACAAAGCATTTCAGGGCAAGTTTGTATAAACACTTGTGTTTACAGAGTATATCAGAGCTTTCAGAATAATTTCAAAATAGGTACCCTGTACATTCTAGAAAATACAAACCTGGATAATCAGACATTGTACATATTCCCTCAAAATCTTTAAAATGGTAACTGGCAAGAATACTGTTGGTAGCAGGATCCAACTGATCAAGGGAATATGAGGTAACTTCCAGAATAACAGGAAGTCTTATATCAGACCAATGATGTTTATAAGCTTGATATCTCTGCAATAAATTATATAATATTCATAAATAATGAGCATAATATTTTGATCACTTCAAATGCATGCCTCAGGAGCTTTGACACACACACTAGTATCAATTTGTATTACACATACCAGCACTTCTTTAGGCTTTTCAGAAAAACAATGTCTGAACTTCAAAGCTTCTGTGAGCAAATGTGTCCTATGCTCTGTTGAAAATGTCATTTTGTCAGTCTTTTTCTCTTTCTTCATAGTAATTTGGAATTCATTTTGGTTTCCTGATGCCCGTAATGGAATGATAGAAATGAAATCACAGTATGACCATCTGTTGGTTATCTCTAGATTGTTTGGGTTGTATGTTGTGATACCCATGGTACCCACAGAAAAGATTCTTTTATATCTAGAAGTTTATTTTACATACAGTAATAGTACCAAATGTTTATTGTTAATTAACTCACTTTCCTTTCCAAGTTGTGTGTTTGGTACAGAAGAAACAGGCAACATCCTGATTATCCTTTACAGGCATCATCTTCCCTAGGTTCTTGAAATTTCAAACAGTTCACTTAATACACATTTGTTTATTATAATAATCTGGATTTAAAAATAAGAAAACTTTCAATCAACTTCGGACAAACTGGACCGACAAATTGCAATGTAGTCTTGGTTGTTAACAAAAACACAATTTTTCTTTATCGGAAAACATTTTGGGGGTGTCAGCTGTTTGACTGAAATTGAAAATGAAAAGTGAGGTTTTCTTGTAAAGTTGTCCAAAGTCAAACTGTCATCACTCGGCAGTCAATGTCAAATATTTGATTGTTTGTCGTATCAGGTCTGAGTTCCTTTGAGCCTAATACACAAAAAATGTGAATAGCCCTTAAGTACAAAGTCGAAGATCCCAAAATTTAGCCGGATAGCCCTAAAGGCTATGGCCTGTTTCATCGAGAATATTCGAAAAACATTACGTTGAATATTTTGTGAGAGACTTGAGCAGACTCGCGTTTTTTCAATTTCAATGTGGAACTTTACGAAATCGTCAAATGACACAAAAATAAGAAGTATATTTATCAGTTCTACCAACCCTGACCTCATGTTTCGGTGGCGCGGTTTGGTGGACTTTCTTTTATTTTATTCGTCTGAGGTGAACAATAAAGAATTCATATAACTAATCAACTAATCACAAGGAACGATTTTTCGTTTCGGTGGCGCAGTTTGGTGGACAATAAAGAATTCATAACTAACACAAGGAACGATTTTTCGATAATTAATCAGGATTCCACCCTGTATACATTTTTTGATCCACTAACCAAATTCTTTCGTTGTATTTTCATAGTAGCCAAATGACCTTGTGTTGTTCTTATTCTTTTTAATACGTGATATTTGTATTTATCCATTCCTCTTTGAATGCTCGAAATCTGAACAAATCAGCGAAAGAACGAACTTTTCAAAATTCTGATCAGCCCGAAGACCTTGAGAGACTGTCAAATCCATCATCCATTATGGTGTCTTGACAGTGACGTTTCTATTTACATAATTTTCTCAAAAAATCTTGTTAATTTTAGTTAAACTACTACGTGAACAAGTGTTTTAAATTTCTTGCCAGTGCTTCTTATACATTTAGTTCAAACTCGAGTTCAAAATATCAATAGTAATGAGTAATGAGATACCTGTGGAACAAATCAATGAAGAATGATATTTTGAAGATCATATATGGATGATCTATGTTACTTTAAACATTATCAACTATCTAATTTTTTTGTCGACACACAAAATCACTAACCCAATGCCTGCAGAAGTGTTTAGTAAAGCTTGCTGTTAAAAAAACGGGGTTGTAAGTATTTCAAAAAATCATAATTTATTATTAAAGCAGTAGCTATATTCTTTCCTTCTAGATTTGACATTTTGTTTGTAGTAGAAAGTAAACTTTTCTTTCAAGATCCGTTTTTACGACCTAAATTCCAATGGTACAGATAATATGAAAATCATATCAATGAATGTATTGATACAATCTCAGAGCCATCTCAAGAATTTGATGAAATATTTTCCTGTTTCCATTCACAGTACACTGTACCATATTGCCTATGAGGAATTCACTTTCAATTGACTTTCTAAAGTAACTTAAGATCTATAGCCAATAAAGGATTTTTCATAAATTGCTTTTTAACAAAGAGAAAACTTTTTTTTATATTTCAAAAGTTCCATTATCTACTTACATTGGCCAAAATATAAAAATATTTTCACAATTTTTTGGGAATTTTTGATTGGTATAATCTGGTAATAAATACCTATTAGTTGTTAAGGAAAAGAAAATGTCATTTGAATAAATAATCAACTAACTTCAGATCTTCCTTGAGATTTCAAATATCTCATGAATTAAAAAAAAACCTTTAACCCTTTAAACATATACCAATACCTACTAGATTAGGTACCTGAGTGAATAGATAGTAAATAAATCCAGAAATACACCAATATTCAATCTGAATTTTCCTCATATCTGTTAAATACTTTAGTATATACCTATTTATATACATAATACATTGAAAAATATATCATATAAGTTTGATGTAATCTGAAAATATGGATAGTCTGGTGGTATAGTGATATGCATTTTGAAAACAATAGAAATTATCTATAAGATAAAAATGCATTGAGATCAATTTATCACTATATTGCAAAAACAATGATTAAAACTATATTGATTATTTGATTATAAAAAGTGAAAAAATCATTGCTCATATCAAGCATAGTGTAGCTTGAACTGGTGAGTACAGGAGATTTTTTTCATTCTCAGATCAACCTGAGTAAACATTAATTGTACCTATCTTTACTGGTTAGAAAAATACAATTGTGGTTTGCAAATGTAGGTGAGGTGAGGAACCTGAAACATGAGCACACTCAATTTTTCCTCAGGTGTCTTCATTCAACTGTATAATGATAATATTGCAACTATTCTGAAAACTGTTTCATGATATTTAATAACTCTTAACATTCAATTAAACCGACAATTAGGAATTAACAATTAGCAATCAACAATTAATAATCCTGAGAGTGTTTATACATATCTGATATTAATTAAGTATCAAATGTAAAATGTCTTCTGATTAGAGATCAAAATGATGTTAAAAAGTGATTTTGGTCTCCACAATTCATGAATCCATAAAAAATATACCAATTAAATATCACCAAACTCCACTTGATCAATGACAAATCTAATCTTCATGTTCTGTCTCCAGAATTTACTAATTCTTATTCTTAATTTATATGACAGATGTAAATGTATAAACCCTCATACATTTTTCTTTGGGTTCAACTTTACAAGTTCATAGTTGTTAGTTTAATTCTTAGTTCTTAGTAGGCTTGGTCAGTAGTATATCTCTGCTGGAGGTTAGGGTAGAAAGAAAAGATAGACTTTTCATCATTTCCTCAGAATCTCAGAAATCGATAATTAATTAATCTGCCATGTACTCCAGGTATACCAGGTGTAATCTAATCTATTATAAGTCATAACTCGTAGAATATTAGGTGTATCAAAATGAGATTTGGTATAGGTGAATGGCGAGGTGAATGGTATGTGAAGATGAAATATTTTACATATTTCTCACTTTCCGTTCGTTTCTGTTGAAACTTCTTTTCTGCAAACGTCAAAAAATTACAACTTTCGCCCATTGGTAACAAATTGCCAAGTGACACACTATATGAGATTTTTATATTTCAACTTTATGGTCCTTAATCAAGCAACAAATAAATCATATATTTATGAATGTTCAAACAATATTTTTCTTTTCTTATTTTTGATAGTAAAATATGTTGGTGAAATATTGAACAGTAATTATGGGACAACCTGAATATCACATTGTTATTCCGGGTGTTTCTCAAAAGTGGCTCACCCCTATAAGTTTTTTGTTTCTAGAGATAAATAAATGAAATTCGTTGTGTAATTATAGTACATAAATATGTATTATTTGACTTATTCAATTGTTTTCTGTCAATACCGGTTTGACCGAAAATTGCCCTTATTTTCTTATTTTGAATGGGACACTCGGTATATTTTTCTTTATTTCGATAGAGAATAACATTGTGAGTATAACGACACCCCATTTGTAACATTTTGACATTCATCATCCTGAAATTTTCATTTTCCAATTATTATCAATCTAGAGTGCCATGAATGAGTTGAAGTGGTTGAAACGGTTGATTTTGAATCAAGTTGCCAAGGAAAAATATTTTTGGTGAAGTTTTACGTTCCATTTTTTTCACAGGTGGATTCAAAATTTACAATATCGTAATTATGATGTTAGCTAAATTTAATATAAGTAGAGTTAACATTGGTCCTTCGAGATATTCAGAAAAGCACAAAGGAATACAAAAAATGTCGGGAAAATTTATTATTCAAGTTTCAGTGTCATGAGAAAACCCACTGTGGAATAGGACCAATGTTAACTCTATTTCTTTTCTTTTCACTTATATCAAATAAATATATTTCTTTTCCGTAATTTCTTTCTATATTTCATTGACATTTACAATCATTCATTCATCAATTATCTGACACTGTCACTTTTTCTCTTTTTTCATTTTTTCTTCTAGCGCAGCTTTTTTTTTAGCAGCTTCTAAGCGTAGTTGGAAAATTTGTCATTTTGATAAGCTGGTACACGTTGATGCAAATTCTTTCCTGGAGCCTTCTAAATTTTCCATGTGTGCTTCTGGAAATCCAACAATTTTCTCTGGTATCGTTAATACTCTTCCAATTTCACCAGCAGGACTTCCTCCTTCGCCACATATAATAATATCCGATATTGCTTCCTTGTTTTCACCAGTTGCATCATTTCTATCATAGTGTATGTACTTCAACTTGAATGATAGATTCAATTTAATATCGGATATTATTATATGTGGCGAAGGAGGAAGTCCTACTGGTGAAATTGGAAGAGAATTACCGATATCAGAGAAAATTATTGGATTTCCAGAAGCACACATGGAAAATATAGAAGGCTCCAGGAAAGAATTTGCATCAACGTGTAGCAGCTTATCAAAAAGACAAATTTTCCAACTACGCTTAGAAACTGCTAGAAAAAAAAAAGCTGCGCTAGAAGAAAAAATGGAAAAAGAGAAATAGTGACAGTGTCAGATAGTTAATGAATGAATGATTGTAAATGTCAATGAAATATATAAAGAAATTACGGAAACGAAAGATTTTTATTTGATATAAGTGAAAAGAAATAGAGTTAACATTGGTCCTATTCCACAGTGGGTTTCCTCATGACACTGAAACTTGAATGATAAATTTTCCCGCCTTTTTTTGTATCCCTTAGTGCTCTTCTGAACAGTATTTGTATGTGCATTTGTATTAGATGATGTTGCCCATACTGGTATCGCCATGGGAACACCGGGCGATAAGGCCAGCGTCGGTGAGGTAGTGAAGACAGCGCCGCCGGCCCCGGGGCAGCGCGACCGCCCCCAGCCGCCCGCCCCGGACCGCCGCCCGCCGCCCTTGCCGCCCGATCCGCCTCCGGGCGGCCCGAACGCCGGCATGGGCGTGGTCGACAGGCCGCCGACACAGGTCCATCAGGCTTTCGCCGTGGGAACAGGGTTGTCGCACATAGGTATTAATCGTTGCAGAATAGGTCGCGTGCACGATGACCGATCCTGGAGGCAAAATATTGAAACATAACCTCACTCTTCTGTGAATTATTGAAACACAACCTCACTTTCTTTATTTGTTGACAGAGGAATCAAAGGGTTGAAATAGTTTTTCACAATATTTTAGTATACGAATCGTGTTTTTTTGCACTATTCATTAATTCAAGCATGCCTTCTCATTGTGCTGTTGTACAATCAATAAAAAATGCAACGAGAGACGAAGGAATATGATTTTTCAGGTAAATAGTAATCTCACATAATTATCATTATGAAATGTCATTCCTAATTAAAATTCCTTCTGCCACTTCTGCAATACAAGTTAATACTGCTAATAGATTGAAAATGTCTACAACACACACGATCATATTTCGTCAGCATGTCAGACCAGTCCTCCCGTTTGATTGCATGAATCCAATCTTCTTGCATTATTTCAGAAATTTCACGAGTATTTCTATTAGCTCCTACTGCAGAAGGAATTCCGATGAGAAGTCAGAGAAATTACCAAATTTCAAAAATGAAAACTATATGTGAGTGACTATAGTAGGTACTTACTTTTAAATCCTAATGTACCAACCGGATTCCTTCGTCTTCCGCTGCAGTTTTTGTGCATTGTACAACAGCACAATGTGATGGCATGAGCGAATTAATGAATAGCAGAAAAATACGATTCGTATGCCAAAATAATTGTGAAAAACTATTTCAATCGCTTGTAAACAAATAAGAAAAAGGAGGTTGTGTTTCAATGTTGTGCCTCCAGGGTCGTTCATCTGACAGTTCTTGCACGCAACCCATTGAGGACTCTGCTAGATAGATAGATAGATATACACCTAATGACTCAAATCACTGTTTTCAGCACAAAATGGCAAGTACAAATTTTCTAGTACATAGATTAATTTCATTCCCTCTGAGCATAGGAAGATTCAATGCTGAAAGAAGTGTTGTTTATAAAGTGGCTGGCGTCAATGGGCATGATACCAAAATAGTAAATAAATTAATACGTAGACATAAATTTAAGTTAACACTTCGAAATTCTACGACTTTTCAAGTGGATAAAAAGAACTGTAGAAGAATCCCAATCCCGTTCAATCCCAAGTATACGAACGGACTTGATAAGGTTTTCAAAGGCTTAGGTTTTGAAAGCGTTTATCAGTCTGGGTCAAAATTAGGCAATTTATTAGGCAATTCGAAAGATAAAGTGGACACACTTGAAAAGTCGGGAATACACGAAATAAGTTGTAATGATTGTGATAAAACATACATAGGCCAAACCAGGCGACCCATAAAAACAAGGATCATAACACACATATTACTAACCTCAAATTAGTTAAGCAAGTTGATAATATTAGAAAATTAGACGCATATGAAAGCTTAGAGATATTTAAGAATAGCAATAGAGTAATGAATAAGGATAATGGACCTATTCCATATAGCCCTCTATATAGTTTAGTAATATGAAAAAATCGGTTTGGTTATTACTGAAACAGTGTAGTGCCTCTTTCAGATGACTACTACTCGCAAACCAAATACTACGACTATCAGCACCCCGCCTACGCCAACCCGTCCAAACAGAAGACGACATTCCCCTCGACCGTTCCAGATCCGGGGCAGGGGCCCTCCGGCCTGCAAACGCCCAAAACGAAAACGACCGTCGCGACGACGAAACCGAAGAGGCCGAAAAAGCCCGCCGAAGAGCCCGTCGCGACGCCGACGCTTGTCGGCAAGGAGCACAAGTGCCGCGACTGCCACAAGGGGTACGCCACCCCGGAAAAGTTGGCCAAACATCAGCAAACGCACACTGGTGAGTGGGGAGAACGTCGGCGATGATTTCAGCTGACAGTAGGTCGAATGTGGAGTTCCTAAATGTACTTGACACTGCTGTTTTGACGTTTTTTGTATATTAGAGTACGGACACTATGACAAGGAGTTATGTCTCCTTTCGGAAACAATTTCTCCAGATCAGGTAATTAATTTTTTCGAGAATTATATAATGGTTATTTAATAATATTGTCTCTCGACTCGAGTACTAAAGACACCGAAGTCCGTCAACATGCCCGGAAGCCGAGTTCATCAATGTTCATAATATTTTATCGCATGTACTCCTGGAGCACGTTTCACTTCAATTATGGCCCCTTTACCCGATGAATCCGTCATCATCTGGCCTCTATACCGGCGTTGACACACTTATTAAACTTCACATTGAATAGTGGATTTTAACCCAGAAGAGGACCTGGAGACGCCATGTGTATCCTTCCATGGTCAAAATGCGAATTCTAATTTAGCTATAGTAGGTCTGATGTACCGAAATATCGAGAACCTAGAAAGAGCAAGTCAAATGTGCGGATATATCATTATTAGTTCGAATGTACTGACAATCATATTGATATATACATAGATCACATATCTATAAACTAGTATCGCGACTGTCACAATAGAGGTACGTCACCCCGGAAAATTTGGCCAAACATCAGCAGACGCACACGGGTGAGTAGGGAGCGCTGACAGTAGGTCGAATGTACTGAGAGTAGGTCAAATGTACCAATAGATCGAATTTACCTAGAATAGTTTTAATGTCTAATGCAGCAATAGATCGAATATATCTAAAGCAGATCAAATGTACCGATAGTTCAGAGTTCGGATTTATCATAATTAGTTCAATTGTACGGACTGTCAAATTAAGATATACTAGTTCACATATCTATAAGGTGTCCCAGAACAACGTACCATACATTCTACAGGGTGAACTAGAGACCAAAATGGGTTGCGTGCAAGAACTGTCAGATGACCGACCCTGGAGGTGAAACATTGAAACACAACCTCACTCTTCTCATTTGTTTTCAAATGATTGAAATAGTTTTCCACAATTATTTTGGCATACGAATCGTGTTTTTCGGCTATTCATTAATTTGCGCATTCCATCACATTGTGCTGTTGTACAATGCACAAAGAATGCAGCAAGAGAGGAAGGAATCCGGATAGTACATTATGATTTAAAAGTAAATTACTACTATAGTCACTCACATATGGTTTTCATTTTGAAATTTGGTACTTTCCCTGATTTCTCATCGGAATTCCTTTTGCAATAGGAGCTAATAAAAATACTCGTGAAATTTCTAAAAGAATGCAAGAAGATTGGATTCATGCAATCAAACGGGAGGACTGGTCTGAAGAAGTGGCAAAAGACATTTTAATAAGAAATAGGAAATGACAAGATGTCATGAAAATTATGTGACATTACTATTTACCTGAAAAATCATATTCCTCCGTCTCTCGCTGCATTGTTTGTGCATTGTACAACAGCACAATGAGAAGGCATGCTTGAATCAATAAATAGCGCAAAAAACACAATTCGTATGACAAAATATTGTGAAAAACTATTTCAATCCTTCGATTCCTCTGTTTCACAGAGGAATGAGGTTGTGTTTCAATATTTCACCTCCAGAGTCGGTCATCGTGCACGCGACCTATAGGCCGATTGAAATCAACTTACTTCTATATGAAAATGCACCTTTGAGCCGTGAGAGGGCGATCAAGAACAACTTTATTTCCATATACCGGGTGGCTACGGAAGTATTGCCTACGGAATATCTCAGTTATTGTATGAAGTAGGTTTGTGAAATTTGGAGCGTCGATATAATGACATGAGAGCTAGAATTTGAGCATATTGACATGTCGAAGTTAACTTCCGGTCTGACCGGAAGTAACATCAACTTTCTTATTTTAAATGGAAACCCTATTTTTTTTTCTTTTCGTTTTATTCAGCGTTCAATTCCCTTTCTGATGACATATCACAAGTTGGTATCTAACCAGAAACTAGATTAGAAAAAAATTATCATTGAAATTCACCGAGTAGAAGAATAATAACTGAATTTTTTGGTATTTCATTTCAAAGAATGACTTTCTAATATATCATTAGAAAGGAATGGTTATGCTGAATAGTACAGGCAAGAAAAAGTTGTATGTTCCTATTCAAGTTATGGACCTACAGAGTATTGTTTTTTCCCCAATTTTTCCAATATTTTTTTTGGCGGCTTTTCATAACGCCGACGAATGAAAATAAAATATCACAGTAGTAGCAACTGTTATCAAGTGACGTATGGTTTCCATAGCCAACTTTTCAATTTTTGTCTTTCATTTTGCTTCCACGGCCTACTCGGTGAATTTCAATAATAATTTTTTTCTGATCTAGTTTCTGGTTAGATACCAACTTGTGATATGTCATTAGAAAGGAAATTGAATGCTGAATGAAGCGAAAAGAAAAAAAAATAGGGTTTCCATTTAAAATAAGAAAGTTGATGTTACTTCCGGTCAGACCGGAAGTTAACTTCGACATGTCAATATGCTCAAATTCTAGCTCTTATGTCATTATATCGACGCTCCGAATCTCACAAACCTACTTCATACAATAATTGAGATATTCCGTAGGCAATACTTCCGTAGCCACCCGGTATAAGCATCGTTGCCCCACCTACTCGAGTATAGCACGTGTAGCAAACGTTAATCCCTGCGGTCGGGCCGAATAATGGACTCGCGACTCGCTCGAAGGAGGGGCTAAGCGTATGGCAACGTCGCTGATCTCTTCGTTAAAATGTCCATGCACAGAATGCATACGGTTTCTTTATAGGAAAATTATTTATTGCCAGAAGTGTATACAAGCAGAAGCACGCAAATCAGTGAGTGATGAAAGCATCGGCATTGCCAGAGTATTTCTAACTAATAGAAATTTGTTGAAAGTTGTTGAGATGTACCAAAAATCTAGTTAATTTGTCTTAAGTACTTTTATTTTACCAGTACCAAATTGCAACTGGTAGATATACTGACGCTACTCGCTGCTAGTAGAGCTTTGGAGTTGATCTCTACAATATGGTTGATTAAAACCGCTGATGCTATAAATGAGGATCTAATTACTGATCAAAATGCAGAAGCTTCAATGTTCTCCAACAACTGTTTAATTGCAGTAGCCATAATGATAATGATTCTATACATTAGATCGAATATACCAAAATCATGTTGAAAATACTGACAGAGATCAAATGCAGCAAAAGTTGAAAGATTTCAAAGGGTTGATAAAAGCTTCAAGTAGATGGCAAGGAACTACAGGTCTACAAACCTCGAAACTACCTAGCTTCAATATGGTTCATTGGTATTACTAATACCAAAGTCATTTGCAAAAAAATTGATTCCCATTTCCAATAGGTCAGGCAACATTATCGTAGTAAGTTTCATTGAAATTTACTAGCTATGTCAAATGTATGAAAGGTAGGTCAAATGTAACAAGAAAACCTCCCAATAACGTCCAAATATTGGCTTACTTCCATTCTGGTGATTTTATGCGAGACAGTTCATTTTAACTCGTTTATTATAGGATCATCGTCACCTTTCAAGTGCGACAACTGCAAGAAATTGTTTACATCGAAATTCAAACTAGTTAGACACGCTCTCATCCATTCAGACCAGAAACCTTTTAGTTGTATGGTGTGCGATAGGACGTTCCACAGAAAAGATCATCTCAAGAACCACATCAAGGTTCACAGTCCATCCAAGGAGGTTCATGTGTGCAATTCTTGCAAGAAACAGTACACGTCATTATTAAGGTAAAAAAAAAAACGGGAATCGTTGTATCCAGATTGAGGTGAAGCACATCAAACTGATATTACTTCATCAGAACAAAATTTTGATAGATTATAGTTATTTTAGTATCTAGAGCGCGAAATGCTTCTTTGGTGATCGAGATCTGATATTTTAACGAGGCGTAGCCGAGTTTATGGTAACGTAGGAAACTGAAAAAAAGTGTCACTTCGCAATTTGTTATCAATGCGCGAACCTTGTCATTTTTTGACGTTTGTAGAAAAAAGTATGAATGTTTCGTTTTATGGTGGTCATCGAAATTAATGCCAGGAGTCCTTCAAATGTATTCGATATATTTTTCATTTTCCTCAAAGTCTCCAACAGGCGGACTTATTATATCCATTTCGGTTTGTTTTTTTGTTCGAGATGAAATAAAAAATTTTTGATTATTTCACTTATCACATAATCTGACCAATCACAAGTCAGAGACAATTTGTGTTATCGCGAAAACACTAGATGTCGTTCAATTCTGATTGTTCTATCAGCGTTGGTGTTTTCAACAATGTAACCATGGATAGCAAAGCAAAGTCTGTTAGTTTGGCATAACATAGTTATAGCTGTAGTTGTCAGAAATGCAGAATGACCATTGTCTCATAATATTTGGACAGTTTTATATTTAAACAAGGTTATATCATCATCTAGCTTTGAGAACCAGTGAAAACATGTCTAAACATTTTTGGTGCATAAGAAGGAATGATCAAGGTTGGTAGAACTGATTATAATTTGTATAGGAAGGTTGCCTCGATCGATAGTGCGGCAAGGGGGGAAACGGTCACTCGTGACGTCACAGGCAGTAAGACGACAAGTTGTCAACCTTAAAGTGACATGTCATGAAATGTTTACCAAATAGAGTATACAAACATGATACAAACTTTTTGGTCTGCTCAGCATATTTATATTAATTTATAGTATATAATTATAAGTAAGTACCATTATAAAATATGGATATTTACATATACTTCTGTATAATACCTTCAATCTTCAAAATGAGAAGGCAATTTTGGATGGATCAGTAGTACAGAGAGAAATACCTATCTGAAATTTTGTTCCAGGGGCTATTTACCAGGTCGTGGTACCAGGTATGTGTGTTTTGAGGTATGGAGCATAATTATGGAGCTATAGTGATTACTTATGCATTGAATTATGAACCTACTCATCCAATAAATTTCCTGCAAATCAGATAATGTGAACAAGAAACTACAGAAAATATAAGAATAATCAACTGATGATCCAGAAGTAGTAGCAGTGGACCAATATTCGTACACAACAGATCACTTATAGCGTTTTCCACTCGCCGATTTACAGAGCGCACTAGCACAGAGCAAGTACAAGTGGCACTGGCTAGGTTCTTCCATAAAGTGCGGTTTCAGCACAGAGCAGTGGAATAGAAATAGAAAGTTAGTGCGACCTCTTTGTCATCAGAAATGTCAGATTAATTGTTTTATCAATCAAAAAGTTGAATTATTGAAAGTCCATTTGGTTCCGTTGGAGCACAGGAAGGATTCATCTACCTTTTATTGTGGTTTCCCTGTGAACACTGCCAGAAACCAGCCAGAAACAGTCTAATATATGAATGTTCATTGTCAATGATGTTCAATCGAATCATTCGACAATAGAGATGTAGCATTGAAGTGTCCTTCATAAAGTTGATATTTTTCATCGTTACTGAATCAACAATCAAATATGTTTAATACCTTCACATCTGAATAGCTTTCTTCAACTTTTAGGTAATTTTGAATCTTCCGTAAACGCTGTTTCGTAACTAAAAGTACTTCTGTATCTCAATCATCATTTCTTCATCATCACTTGTATATATGGTTCCGGAAATCATTGTAATAATAGTGATAAACTTCAATGTGACATTCATAATTATTCAAATTCCAAACATTTTCCCACTCGTAACTCAAATATTTGAGGTTATGTGTATCGCACCGTCGTACAAGCACAGTTCTGAAAACTCGAACTCTGCGCGGGCATCGAGCAAGTTTGAAAGCCAGTGGAAATCGTTTCTCGACAAAAGTTCGCTCATGAAATCCTCAGTGGACCACGCAAAACGCACTCAGTGCCGAAAAAGTTCGAGCTAGTGCGACGAGTGGAAAACGCTATTATTTTATCAATACAACTCTGTATTCTGAAAAATTAACAAACTTTCCTGGATACCTATAGAAAATACAAGAGGAAATAGTATTTTATTGTTTGATTATATTGTAGCCAAAAACAGAGCAATTGATCGAAGTATTTGAGCATAAAAAAATAACAAAATATGATTCTGAACAAAATTAATGAAAAATAACACTACTATTATAAGTGAACCTATAATAAAGGATAGTTCAAGGAATCTCTCAAATAAACATAGCTCCTCTTCGTTGGGTAACGTACTCTTGCTCAAATATCTCAACTTGAAAATACGTGTGATATCTTCTGATGTCCATTTTACCCGTTCAGCAAGAATCTCAACATTCACAACTGGTCTGGTTCTGATCTTCTGATCATTTTTCCAAACTTGAATACTTATGGTGTTTCTCTTGTTGTATTTGGTATTATATTGATGGGATTCCTACCTTGAGTTATCTTCTCTTTGGTGTGTGATTTAGCAATTCTGCTTGTGCCGTTCAAAATCCTCGGCATCGAAATGGGCAGAACATATTCGCCAAGTTTTGATATTAAATGAATTAAAATTACGTCCACAAAATTGAATCCATTTCTCACGAATGGACTCATCTTATGGAAATTAATGGAAACACAAACTAAATTCACTAGTCTCATTACACTTGTACGAATTTTAACAAGAAATGACCGAAGTTCAAAATGGTTCAAATATTCGAAAATACTGACAACTGTCAACTCAATACCATGCGCCATCATGCATGCGCCGGCCAATCGCCGGCGTACATATCATACACGAAGTGTACGAGAGTGCTAGACTTTTCGTGCAAAAGAAAGGGCCTATTACGTCATGAGTTACTCAAGGTTACTCGCGGGGTGCGATCGAGGCAACCTTCCTCTACAAAATAGTCATCAGTTCTACCAACCTTGGGAATGATTTAATAGTTATAGGAAACATCAAGCTTTTCATTCGGCCGAGGAAGGAAATCTTAAGTGCCAAATGTGCTCTGAAGATTTCGAAACGAAAGAAGCCATCTTGTACCACTTGAAGATCCACGCTGGCAGCAGGACAGTGAAGAATCCGAACGAGAAGAAATTCACGTGTGATCAGTGCGACCGCAAGTTTTTTACGAAAAAGGATGTCAGGAGGCATCTTGTAGTACATACAGGTGAGAAAATCAATTTTAATAACAATCAGAGGTGGAATAAATGATTGAAATAGCTAACATTGAAAATAATTATTTTATCAAGTACACCTTCATATTTGAAATTGAAGTATTTTGAACACACACATGCTTATCAGTAGTTATTAGTATCTGTTGGAGTTTGTGTCATCATGTTGAGTAACATTGAGAAAATAATTTGAGCTACATACTTTCATTAGTTAATTCATCGCCATCTTGGATTTCCAATCTTCTACTAGAAATTCCTAATCCTTGACCTCGAAAACGTGAACCTTTCCAGGCAAATCGGAATAGAAATGACCAAACACGGCGGACATAGCGGAGCGGAGACGTCATCTTTGATTTTCACATTTTGACCCAGAATTCCTATTGTTTGACCTTGACAATTCCGTTGAGGATATTTGCAGACGAATAGGCCTTTCCATCTAGATCTATTTTTAAGACGCATGCGCTCGTTTTTAGATCCAAAAGTTTATTGGGTAATGCGAAGGTGAAGCCTCATTGGCTATAGTTCCAACACAAAATGCTGATTGGCCATATCGAAATTGACGTTCTGTCAATTGTCAACAGTGTCAATCACCATGGGTCAACAATAACAACATAGTAATTTTGTTTTTATATTCCTGGTGTTTATTAATTGTATTAATAATTTAGTTCCAAAAAACGTTACTTATTCGTTACTGAGGAGTGTGGTACTGTGGTCTAAGTGTTTTGGTTAAAATGGCCGCCACTGTCGTTGGGCGCGAGATGTAAACAGAGATAGTCATTTGTCATCATTCTAGGAGAAATCACACATTTGCCGGCATATTAGTGGCGCCATTTTGAATACCCTAATTTCGACTCGAAATCATATAATTCGCCCGCCATCTTGGAGTTGTAAAGTGTTTTATTCTGTTATATTTAATAAGGCCATGTCACACTCGAGTTGTACACCATAATTCTTTAACCAATATTTCACCGAAAAAATGTACAATAACATGTTATGAACTCATATCAATTTGATATACCTCAAGTCACGAAAGTCTGTCTGTTATTAACTTCAATGGAAACGAGGTTATAATGGTCTTCTTCTCAATTTTTGTGTTTCCAATATAAACATTCATTGTATTGCCTTGTAGCAATGATCTTGTAGCAGAAGCGGATGACGTATTTTTTCTCTCTCAACACCATCAGAACTTCCTTTCGATTTCCAGGTAAACGCGATTTCCTATGTCAATACTGCCCCCAGCGCTTCGGTCGCAAGGACCATCTAGTTAGACACATAAAAAAAGCGCACCACATCAGATACAGGCCCGACGAGACCGCCACCGCTGCCACGATAAAAACCGAGGCGGGCGCCGAGGCCGTCAAGACCGAGATGTCGGAGAGCAGCCTGTCGAACGCCGCCACGGAGGATTTCGCGGCCGACTTGGACTTCCCGCTGAAGAATATATCCGAAGAGACTCTGACCACGTTGCTGGAAGTGGAGAATTTGGGGTTGGGGCTGCCTGCGGCGTCGGACGAAGGGGAGCTGGAAGACTTGGGGAACACCATCCTGGAGGAAATAGGTAGTCACATTGAGGTTTCACATTACTGATTCCCAATCAGCCCTGGATGAATTTTCATCAAATTAGTTGTACACTAAATAGGATTATGCTTCTGGTTGTCTTATGACAATTGAAATGATTAAAAATTATTTTTCGGAAAACGAAGACGTAAACGGTGAATGTACTATGAACATTGGTTTAATGAAATTGGCGGTGAGATACTAATTTCCGAACGAGCCCGAACTGAAAACGAAGGAAAAAACCAACGTTTCACTTTTTCAGAAGGCTTACACATGACGATTACAAGTATATCCTGAAAGGTGAATTAATTGAAAAAGACTGAAAGTGAAATTAGAGCTTCTTGCTTACCATATCATGAAAATATTACAATTCTGGCGAAGTAATTAGTCAATTCGCGAATCCAAAATTCTAGAAGCCACCTGATGGTGAAATTGTTAACCTACCTAGTGAATAATCAGTAATGGATATGATTTAATTAGTATTCACTTTCCAATAGTCCTAAATACCTCAAAATAATAGATATCATTATCTCACTTCAAAACAATCGATATTATTATCTAAAGAAGCTCAAAAGTGAATGGACCACACCGATGCACTGTGCAAAACAAGAAACACAAACAATCCTCCATGGCTGTTTACGTCTTGCAGCGCCCTCATTGATAGTTGAAATCGCAAATAGAGATAATAGTATATTACATAACAAGAGTTGTAAAACGCATATTACGCACGAAGTGGAGAGAGTTACACACGATGCCGCATAGCGGCGAGTGTGTAACTCCACAAGTGCGTAATTGCTTTACAACTCGAGAATTGTACTATACTTTTTCTACGACTACACTATATTTTCTTCCGGATAGTGCAGATATTGTATATTATGGCACAAATAACGAATACTTATATATACACGTCTCGCGTCACTAAACCAACTGCATGAAAAGTCACAAATCGAAATTCTTGTGTTTGTTTATTGATACATTGCATACTGAGACATTTTCCTCAATTCGAACTGAAATGGAGCTGTTTTTCATATCTAAACAACTTTATCAATAGCAGAAAACACATTATGTAAAAATATGGAATTAACATTCATAATGGTTATTTATTGAAACAGTGCGAACGAGAGATTCTGTAATCGTTATTAAAAACAATAAAAAAAAGTTAGCCAACTGCGCTTTGAACCGCCGACCCCTGGCTTGGGAACCAAGTAGGCAGCGCTTCCAACAACTGAGCCATCACCAGTAAGTAATTGGTGTATTAGCAGATATTTTATGAATACCATTTCGAGGATTGATCTTTCCTAATTATTCCTGTTATTTAAAGAAGAAGGAATTCATCAATTCAATGTTGAGTATGTATATTATTTGAAAAATTACCTTCATGAATTAATATTCATCAACAAGAGCAATCTGCAGAAAATAATTGATCTGTTCAGCATCAAGTATTTTCGATTTTTTACTTCGGAAGTTCGGAATCCATCCGATTTCCTTCTGAGGAAATGGGATATGTTGCTATATTAATATTGTGATTGATATTCAGTGTTGATCGTAACATGGAATATATCGACCAGAGTGATGATGATTTCATCGAATTTGATAATTCTTGAAAATATACTAAAAGGATATATTATGTTCCGAAAACGACACGGTATTATTTCTAATTCTCCAGTCCAGGAATTTCTGATGTGCTATTTCGTATCATTCACGAGACTTATCGGGTAGCAACTCATTTTTAGCCATTCTATCTTTTTGCAACATTTCTGGTGGTGTAGAAATAATCTGCTCATCGTCATATAGCTACTGACATTAATGAAATAGTTAATTTTGTTATTGACACATCGCCTAAGCTACAAAAACAAAGTCATCTATCAACATACCTATGAAAACCGTGCGATCGCTCTCTTTACGCACACGTGTGTAAGGAGAAGCTTACTGCCATTGTTTTGTGTACAATATTCATCACTTACAGTAGTAGTCGTAGGAAAAATTCATTGAATCACCGCAACTAGATCACAATCAACAAGTGCAAATACATCGAAAACAGCGCATAGATGGTAATACTAGACCGTGAATCAAGAGGAAAGTAAGAAACTGTAAACAATAATAACAATGGAAACATATAACCTGCAGCTATCGGCATCTGATGTAAAACTGGTTTCAGGCGCGGTTGCCAGGTATAATTTCGTGGAAAAAATGAAAATCCAATCAAAATTTGTTCAAGTTAGAATTTTATTTTGATTTTATTCATTTCAAGATTCAACTGTGAGTAATGAAGGTATTCTAGATGATATTGAAATATATATCTATGTTTTGTCTTGATTAGTCATCTCATAAGGCATCCATACATAGGTAACTTGGTTTATACTTTTTGACTAATCAGGAGATCAAATCAGGATGTTTTCCCGTAGTTTTGAATGTCATCGCCACCTCAGAAAATGATCTTGAAAACCGCGAATATGGCAGTTCACCAATGACGTCAACAGAATGGTGAAGGAGCCGAAACTATTTCTATAATTTTTTTAACCGAAGAGATTTCTCGGCCTATTGAGAAAATATAAATTATGTAAATAGTAATTTTTTTCTGTGACGGGAAAAAAGTTTGGCATTTCATCTCTGTTGGCAGGTTATAAAATGTCACTTTTCGTAAATTACTTTTTTCCCGTGGGAAAAAAGTGAGTACTTTTTTCCCGGATATATATCACATATATATACTCTGTTAATGACTTTTGTTGTGTTATAGTTCCGAAAAATGAGTCAATAATACCGTCTCCGAGAAAGAACTGCAAGTCCTTTTATCTTCCATTCGACTTCGCGGTTTCGTATATTACTAAACAACTACTGAATTCGCAATTTTTTTAAATCAAATCACAGAATTGAACTGACAGAAAGTGACATCAGATATTTGATTACTTCAAAAGAATGATAAAGATGCCTATAAAACGCAGGTGTCCCTACTGATAAAAACTTGAAATTTCACGTCGATAATTTTCAGATTTTGAAATAATGTAATATCTTCTCGATATTGATTCGTTCTTCCTTCTGTCACAGAAAAAAATAGTGTATTATACACGGGAAAAATATTAGATTTTAGCTCACGGTTTTTTGTCTCCCTCCGCTACGCGTCGGGAGACAACACAACCTGGAGCTAAAATCTACTACTTTTTTCCCTTGTATAATAAATAACTATTTCTTACTTCACGGAGAAATAAAAATCTCAATACCGAAAACTTTTTCATTGCGAGGCTCTGGAAAGGAAGGTGTTCCCCGAGGCATATAACCTCCAGCAAATTTTAGAAGAACACCAATTCCTACCTTATTTCCCTTGGCTCTCACTATGTTCTCTGAACATTACAGGAAATCCTTTTCGTGGGTACCAGAACTTAAAAAAAATCTGGCGAAGAACTTGCAAAAGCTAGTGCAGGGTGTCAGATTTTGGGAATCGGAGCTAAATAATAAGCTCAAGTGACTGCAGTATACATGAAAACGAACGATCCCCACCATTCGCGATATCATTCATGTATCCTTGTTTAGCGTTTAGGTTTGTTGGCGTATACTTTTCAATGATTTATGAATGAATCACGACTACCCTTCATCCTATTCAATTTTACAGAGGGCCCCACCGAGGCGACCAGGATCATGTTGAGCGACAACTTGGATGCTAGTCAAGACGTGTTAGACGAGGTGGTGCTGAACGATCCCGAGCTGCTGCAGCGGCTGCTGGAGGCGCCCGCCGACAAGAATCTGCCCTTGCCGGGGTTCAGCCAGACGTTCCAGTCGCCCCCGCCAGGGGGTGGTCAGCCCCTGTGAGGGGGTGGCTTTCACCCGGTTCGGATCGGACCATGTGGGGCGAGGTTTTACTGCTATGAGGTAATTTACTGATGGCTTTCCTCAATGTGTTTTTTGTTTTGTTTTAGGGAGTGTTTGGGAGATGATTCTGAAATAGGGTATGATACATATCAAACTCATGATTGTCGCTATGAATATAAATCTTGATATAAGTCGCGTGCACATAATTTGTGATCTAAAAGTACTGTGGTCACATGGTTTTCATTTGCAAATTTCGTCATTTCTCTTTACAAGTCCTGCAACTTTTTTTTATTTATTTATTCACGAGATAAACCCCATTACAGTATAAATTTAACCAGACACATAAGTAAGTATATGAAACATATACCTACCCAACAATGGCGATATAACTAGTTTACACATGAATATATGGAATAGATGAGACTAGAAACCCAATGAAACTAACAATAACAAATTCGATGGCTAATCAAATGCCACTCTCTTCTACTTACAAGCTATTCAATGATTTTTTTTAACATACTGTAAGACAATCCAAATATATTGATGTTCATGTCGTTCAATAACTTCAGAGTTCTTTCCAAGGGTGCATGCTTGCCATAATTTGTGAAATGGAATGGTAAGTGAAATAACAATTCATGTCTAAGATTCCTCTTTGGAACGCTGAAGTTAATCGACTGGAGTAATTCCGGACACGATATAAGTCCATTGAGGAGTTTGAATACAAAACAAAGATCTGCGTGAGTTCTTCTTGTTTCCAACGTTTTAAGGTTGAGTTTACGTAAAATATCTGAATAATCGTGGTTTTGTATATGAATACCTAATCTATATGCACAAAATCTCAAAAATTTATTTTGTACCCTTTCTAATGAAGTAGAGTGAATCTGCCATAGAAGCTAATGGAGTGAAAATTTCTACAACCCACACGACCATATTTCGTCAACATGTCAGATACTCTCGTTTGATTGCAGGATTCCAACTTTCTTGCATTTCACTTCACAAATCTTTCTATCAACTCCTATTGCCCATATATGAAATAGGTTATGATACATATCAAAGTCATAATTGTCGCTATGAATATAAATCTTGATATATGAGTCGCCTATACATAATTTGTGATTTAAGAGTACTGTAGTCACATGGTTTTCATCCGCAAATTTTGTCATTTCTCTTTAGAAGTCCTGTCACTTCTACCATAGAAGTTAATAGAGTGAAAATGTCTACAACCCACACGACCATATTTCGTCAACATGTCAGATCCTCTCGTTTAATGACAGGATTCCAAGTTTCTTGCATTTCACTTCACAAGTCTTTCTATCAACTCCTATTGCTGAGAGAATTCTGAAGAGAAATGACGAAATTTTAAAACAGAAGTTATGTGAGTGACTCGAGTTATTTTAGATCACAATTTACCTACCTGAAAAATCGTATTCCTTCGTCTCTCGCTGCGTTTTTTGTGCATTTCACAACAACACAATGTGATGGAATGATTGAATAAATAGATAGCCGAAATTATTCTGAAGAACTATTTCAATCGTTTGTAAACGAACAAGAAAAGTGAGGTTTTTTTATCTCTAGGTTCGGTCATCTGTCAAATGTGCACGTGACCTATTATTTCGACGGGGAGAGAAAATTACAAAAATTTTGAGAATCCGGAATTTCGAGCTTTATAATACAAAATAAATTAACGGTACCATGTGAAAAAAGAACTAAATATTCCAAGAATATTTTTCTTATCTTTTTTATTACATATTATTTATTGTTTTATTACATTGAAAATTCATCTAAATTTTTTGTACATATCCTGAAGTACTGAATCAATCCATTTTCAGCCTAACTATTCAGTCCTGAGGAATCTAATGAAACAGGTCGATTATTAATCTCAATTTTTCACATTTATGGGGGAAAATTGAATATACAGTGTGATCCACGTTTGAATTATGACGTCCGCGACAGTTTTTTCAAAAGGAACATCCTATATATTATTCAATTTTTGGAATCTCCATGGAAAGCTGATTTCAATAATATAATATCACATTTAGAGTTTGTATACAGTACTTCATTGTCATCAAGGGAATACCGATGACGTCATTTCTCCTACACGAGTCATTCTGAATGATATTGATATTCATTTGATTTGGAAAAATGCCCAAATGTAAATAGAATTATGCTTTTATTTTTTTACAAATTGGACCCCACACAAAAACATAGGAAATTGGCTCTGGGTCGGTTGTTGTGGGATGGCTCCTAAAATGTGGCAAATTGAGATCAAAAATCGATCCGTTTCAGGAGATTACTCAGAAATGGAGCAGGAGGAGGAGAAGCGCCATATTTCAGAATCATCCCTTATACCCCTTTCTAAAATCTCCTGAAATTTATCTCATTCAGGAATTTAATAGACTTCAAGATACTTTTCACTGGGAATAAATAATTAAAAGTTCAAGTGCGAAGAAATGATGCGATATTATTAGTTTTGTGTCAAATCGAAAACTTACATGTCTCCATACTGAATTCAAAGACAAATATATATATATTCCGAATTCAACTGACAGTACTGAATCTGATGATTTTTCATTCTGTAATCAAAAATATTACTGAAAGTGAAAGATACTTTTGAGCGGACATATTTCAGAACACTGGTTTTCACGGTACTAACCAGTTGAATTCGGAATGTAGCCAAAATAAAATGGAACAATATTTTTGATTTTCGAGCAACAATTAAATCAAGTATTTACTCCAATTCAGTAGCTACTTACTCAATCTTCACTGCTTCATCTTTTCTTTATTTCATTCCCAATATTTTTCACCTCATGAACCTCAAAAAAATGAGATTTACAAAAAATAGTGTAATTCATAGTCATTCTTTAACATTGTTGTTTACTATGTTACTATCAATTATTGCAAAGCAATCTTATTGAACTTTTTATTTAATTTTATCTTTTTAAATCTCTCAAATGTTATTAAAGTTTTAAGAGAGATAATAATATTGAATTTATTCTTTTATATTGACTATGTTGGTATAATTCAAATTTTATTAACATGTTGAAGAAACTAAAATATGCTGATCTGTTATTCCTTCGACTAGAAACAAAATAGAATCCATTGTGATTTTTAGAAACTCTTATATTTGATCTGAAATAATTCGCAAAGTAAATATTTTCCAGAACCGGAATTAGTACAGAGCACAAATTTCAATGTTCATCGTTTGTTGGTTTTGAAATTTTGTCATGAATGTGATGAAAAATATGTTTTTTTAAGAAATCACATTATATTTTGTTAATTGGTTCAAAACTAACTTCTAGTGTGACTGTAGAAAAACGAAAATTTACCTAAAAATTGTGGTGCTAAATATATTATTGTTAGCTTTTTATTATACTATTATATTTCCAAAGATTATATACACATAGATTTTCTGAAAATGCGAATTCACAATTTTTTTCTCGACTCCCACCAAAATTCCAATGACCTTATTTCATTACTGAAAATATTATGTGTGTATATTCTTATATTCAGTTGCATTGCTTTCTAAATTTTTAGGGCTAAATGAATTTGTGATTGTAATATAATGTTGGTAGTTTAGTTATTGAAAATTTAGAGCGCATTGCAACTTATGTTAGATGTTATTTGTTAATTTTTAAAATAGTATCAATAACTCACCAACTTAAAGAAATCCAAGTACAAATTCATGAGAAGCATTTCGCCATTTTCACGTTTATTTATTTTTTATGGAGATTATTGAAAACGGCGAATCAGATATTATACAAAATACACCTATGTGAGGCTGATAATATAGTTTTGTTTAGTTTGCATTATTTTACATTCAAAACAAACAAGAAATTCAAGCTATGATTTTATGGAACAATTGACAATAATTTGGATCAAAATTATTTTCCTTCACTGGTAGTGACGAAGATTATTCAGTACTTTTTCACAGTGGTCTTCAATATTTGCAGGTGAAAAAAGTAAAACTCAAATGACAATGTCTAAATTCATGTGTATTGACAGAAGAATTTCTGAAATTCAAGTGCTTACAAAATGGTATTGTGAAGGAAAAATTCGTTGTATTCAAAATTAACTGTGAATCAAACTGAGTAATCACCATTTTTTTTTCCAAGTTCATGGTGTATTTTGTTTTTCAATCCGAAACTAAACAATTAATCTACCTCATTTTGCAACATTTCATGCTGTACAATCAGCTAGTCATAGTTTTTAAGAAATAATAGTTTTTATGTATCTACTGTAAAATAAAACAAATACATTTCACCAGCACTTGTGTTGTATATGAAAGATAAATGAGTATATTTCAAAACATATTATGTACAGACTATATTTTTATACAAATTATAGTATTATTTATATTCAAATTTGTTTCATTCATATGAGATTTGGCATAGTACGTCTGAATAGGGAATATACAAGCATTGAGCATTGAAAATGATAATATATGTAAAATTAATAATTGTTCCTATACATTATTCGGTTGCCCCCTAACGAGCAACCCTCAGAAGTCTTCAAGAGACTTGTGCGAGCAAGGAATGACGGGGGTCTTACCTTTCAACTTGTGATCCCAAACACTTTCGTAGGCCATCAGAAAAATTTCTGCGGTCGTGGTTGGAATCGAATCCACATACCGGCAATCCAACGTGGCTGGAACATTGACGCTTTAACTATGAGGCTACGCTGGCCTAAATATCTTTTATATGACCTGTCATTACTGCAAAAAAACTGGTTTGTATACAGACCATTTTTTTTATATATACAGGGTGTTTCAAAATTGAATGCTGATCCTTAAGGGTGATAATCCTTGGATGATTTTAAGAAAAATTCTTCATGTGAACATAGGTCCGTAACAGCTTTGTTTCTGAGATACAGGATGTTGAAATTTAACATAAAAATCAGTTATTCCCCAATATCTCTGAAACCGCTCTGGCTTTTTTCTTCATTACAAATACTTAAAAATAGTTACCATAAAATTATTAAAATATTGCTCAGATCTTTTGGTT